CATTGAAAAAAATAGAAATGAGGTATCTTAACTGTCTTAACTAAGAACCAATGTTATAAATGGTAGTTGAAGTGGAAGTAGTGTTGTGATTCACAAGACTAGCAAAGGGAATATTAGTGGTTTTAGATTGTATCAGTGAGTTAAAAGCTTGAGAAAATTAAGCAGCATTTTAAGATTAGAAATAAGGTAATAAGTGCTTTCTATTATAGCTGCTCCTGCTCTTAATTGGTGATACCAGCTTTAGCAATTAAAAAAGAAATGCGGTATTTCATACAAGGATGAAAAAAGAATTAATGGTATTATTTGCAGATAATATAATCTTAAATAGAAACCCTATAAATTCTTAGAGTAAGAAAGTTCACTAAATTGAATACAAAGTCAACTGACAAAAAAGCAGTAATTCCTCTACAGCGTGTGGCAGGTGCTCCTGGCTGCCGAGACAACAGCCATTCTCCCCTTTGTCTTTGCTAACAAAATCTGTTTCCTTCATCTCACTCCATATAAAAAGAATGCTTGTTATAGGGGAAATTGGTAATAAAATACCTAAGAACTAAAAAGAATATTGAGGATTTAAAATCTGCTATTTTAAAGCAAATTCTAGTCACTCAAGGAGGGAATAACATACTTTCAATTTCTGTGTGAGAAGTAGAGTGACAGAATACAGATCAAAAGCCTCATCATAGGACTATGCATAGGATAGATCTGAATCTATGGTTAATAATACTTTCCTAACCTGGCCAGTGTGGCTCAGTTGGTTGAGTGACATGCTCAGGTTGGGGCTCGATTCCCAGTAGGGGGCATGCAGGAGGCACCCGATGGATGTTTTGCTTTCACATTAATATTTCTCTCCCTTCCTCTCTCTAAAAATCAACTTAAGCCAAAACCGGTTTGGCTCAGTGGATAGAGCGTTGGCCTTCGGACTGAAGGATCCCAGGTTTGATTCTGGTCAAGGGTATGTACCTTGGTTGTGGGCACATCCCCGGTAAGAGATGTGCAGGAGGCAGCTGATCGATGATTCTCTCTCATCAATGTTTCTAACTTTCTATCCCTTTCTCTTCCTCTCTGTAAAAAAATCAATAAAATATATTTTTTAAAAATCAACATAAAGAAATCATAAATTTATTTTATAAAACCTGAACTATGATACTCTATAGAAGACAATTTAAAAATGATAGGATACCTGACAGATAACATTAAACATGACTTGAAACTTTCAGAGTAAGCTCTAAACTAAATAAAAGGATACTTTGTCAAAAGCATTCAGCTCTATCATCTAATTGCTGAGCCTCGATTTTCTCTTTTGTAAAACAGAGACATACTTACCTTACAGAGTTGGGGATTGAAAATATTGTACAAAAATTAAGTTATACAGCATACATAATGATTTCATTAAACACAGCTATTTAGCAAAGTTTACATTTATAAAGAAAAATAAAACCTATACCAACCCTTCATAAACCATTAATTAGCAGCTAAATGAGCCATCGAATACTTCTATAGTTCCCCTACCCATTTAACAGCAAATGGCAGGTCCTAGTGAAGGTTGAATTCTGATTCCTTCTGATCTGCCTATTCCATGTGTTTCTCTCTGTTGCTAACTTTTCCTCAAATCTGAACAAAACCCTTCAGATCTCTCCATTTTCTCTAAGATAATCAAACTACAGTAAAATTTAGTTTCTATATTCTACTTCTTTCAGATCTTGATTTTGAAAAGAGATTCGATTTGGAACAAAAGCTTTGTGTCCCTTTTAAAGGAATTTTAGAAATCACATCATTAAGGAATAAGCACTTGACTTGCAAAGTAGCAGCTGCTGTTAAGGGGCTTCTACAGTTTGAAAAAATATTCTAAAAGTTACCATTTTTTGTCAAAATATTTATTTTGAAATTCCAAATAATACTAAAATAAGAATGTGTTTTTAAGTATATATATGTATTAAAAGAAGGTGTAAGTAAAAAAATAAACACCTAAACTTCTGTGGAACATAAAACTGTAACCTTTCACTATTTTGCTGTGCTTTACTAAAAAATACAGATGGCACAGCTCTGATACAGCTTTAACAACTTGATTATAAATTGCTTTCAAAAGTAATTTATTTGGATTTTCCATATCCTTTAATGAATTGCAAATATATTAACAAAAGACTCCCCCCCCAAGACTGTACAATTTCTGAAATAAATCAGGAAAAGCAAAAAGACACAAAATTACATTGTTTCAATGCAAATAGAACACACACATCACACCCACACTTGCATTTTCCCAGGTTTTCACAAAGAAAATGGGTCACTATACTTCTCAGTGAGATCCATACTATACTCTGGCTAATCAGAGACTTCCAAACTTTTTTCTTCAAAAAGAGCATTTTTTAATAGACTAAATACTGGTTATCACTGAGTTTTTGTTTAAGGTATAACAGCAGCATGGTTCAAATATTACTTGCAGTTCTTGGGAAAAAATAAAAATTTTAAAGTAATGAAATACAGAAAATGTAGGGACCACCTTTCATTATTTTGAGTACCATTGTTTTCTTGAAAAATTATTTTCACCTTTTAAAATCCCAGAGTTTAAGAACTATTTCTAAGGGTGAAAAATATCCAATGCCACAACATAACTTCTGAACAAAAGTATGTGTGTGTGTGTGTGTATATATATATATATATGCATATGTGTGAAAAGCTTAGAGAGAAAAAAAAGATGTTAAAGTACTAGTATTTTTTCATTTCCTTTAAAGTAACTTCTGAAATTCGAAGCAAACATTTTGCTTGGTCAAAATGTGTGCTTATTCTGGTTGTTTGATCCCCATTTCGTGCAGGGGTGAAGTGGAAGAGAAGCCAGAAAGTTATTAGGTGGGTATAAGGCTTCAAATACCTAAATGACTTTGAAATTAAGTATGAGGAAAAATAAAATCATGCCAAGCTTGGGCTAAGTGTCCTTCAGTCAACGATTGCCATGTTGTGCCTTCCATAACTATCCTTTTATTCTTGTCTCAAAATTAGTACCAGAAAGACACACACTCAACTCTGGCACAGGACATAAATTTCTACTACAAAAAGATAACTAATTAAATATCAGCAAGTTATTTTCTGAGTTTACTTTCCCCTAGGTTTTATAACATGGAGCTCAGGTTGAAGCTTTCTATGAAACTGATATTTGATACTATTATAGAGTTGGCTTTTGATTTGCCAATAAAAAGGGTAAAAGGAAATAAAATTAAATATTACAGAACTAATGGATAATAAAACGGAATATTTATTAGAATCCAAGTGCTGGCCTTTGGAATTTTTTATGATTATTTACTCCCAATCTTTCCTTTTTCTTATAAATTGATTTTTATGCAGCACATACACATAGACTTAGCTAGTAAATTTTGTTAAATACCTTTCTGGCACCCAATTCCTAACTGAGACTCAGACTTGAATTCTTTTATAATAGTATCTAATCCACATTTAAATGAGTAGATTTATAGTAAATGATAGGAAATTATTGAGTCTGTAGGTTAAATTTTTTTCACATCTTCTGTAATCTACCTCATTTTCACAGCTTGACTAATACAGGTAACCAGTAGATGAGTTTGTCCTTCATCAAATAATCAAAATAATAACTGTAGGCCTGTCATTCATAGGAAACTATAATTTGTTATATTCTGACATTGGCACTTAATAAAATGTTAACAACTAAAGTTTCTCTAAAATTTTCAATACATTACAATAAAGGAGATACACAATTTAAGACTTTTAAATCTGTTACTGTGAAATTCCAATAATTCCCATTTTATTACACATAATTAGGTCTTTAAAACTGTGGCCATTGCCCAAAGACACCAACCTATATATGAAAAACTCAGGAGAGAACATATCTCCTTCATAAGAACTTTTTTTTCCCAGCTAAAAATTTCCAATATCATAAACCCAAGCATTCTCAGTAAATGTTTGGTGATTCACATTACTGAAAATAATTTGAAGCAGAGAGAGCCGAAAAGAATGAAAATGACCTCAACCAAAGTTAAGTATACATTCTTGCACCCTGCTTAAACACTTAGAAAAATCAAAGGGATACTGTCTTGAACAAATATAGATTCAAGGTATGGTACAATTCTGATTGTATTAAGGCTTTCACTATTATGATTTCTTAAAGTCTCTCTACTTTAGTGTTCTCATTTTTATTCCTATGGTGAACTTAAATGGTTATCAAGGGTCTTGTTTTGGCTTTTCAGTGGGCAATCACTCTGTCATCTCTGAATGTTAAAGGTGATCCCACAGAGCTCAGAGAAGAGGCAATACGGCAAGGACCAACTTTAAAGTTTGCGATAACGACAACAATGATCAACACTTTGAAGCAAGATGAATAAATTAAATTTCTTGGTTAGACATTAAAGCATTCTTGCCAAGAATAAGTGTACACTGTATGGAGGGATATTTGATTCCTAAACATGAGTCCCAATATGTCCATTACATTTGTTTATGGGAGACACTGCAAGTTTAAGGTAATTTACATTCCTTGGCAATCAAGTTATTCTGTTATAGGCAATGTCTTTTATTGTTCCATCCGGCACTTTCTAACACCATTCTTGAAGAACCTAGAAATGAAGGTCAGTCACTCTGTTTATCAGGAACAGAACCAAATAAAACAGAAATCTGGAAAAATGACCAAGAAATTCTGGTTCATCACTATTTTCCATATCTAATGGTTCCTTCAGATAAAACATAACTCTTCCTTCCATGATAGTTTTCCAGCAAAAGGAGATTAAAGAAAAAAGGAAGTTCCCCACCCTACCCACTAAATTGTCATTTATACTGGTGAAAGAGCCAGTCTTGTTAGCAGCTAAATATTGCACTGCCTTTCATTCTGTGTACAGTCAGGGTCCAATGAAAGTGGCATACTCATTGTGTAAGTAATGGATGATGACACTGTCGGCTCAAGAGTGAAGACTCAGTATATGGAAGGACAAGAAACATGTCAGCACTAATCACACATCCAGTTGTAAAAGTCTGATTTGCAGAAGTTAAAATTCATCACTTTCAGCTGCATGAAGTTGTGTGTCGTCCGCATCTGTCATGCTGCTCTCCTGGGATTCATCAGTTCCCACTTAAAAAAATAAAACAAAATCTACAGTAAGGTGTCTGACAAATATTTCTTGTTCATGAAAACAAGGAAAACTACTGTACTCAGAGAAATGAGACTTTAAAGGTCCTTAAAAAACCCAATATCCTTAAAAAAAAAAAAAAATCCCAATACCCTTTAATAAAATACAATTAAAGCTCCTATTTTACAGCAAGGTCTGAGATAAGTTTATTGCATTTAACCTTTAGTTTTAACTACTAAAACTGCCTCTCCCTAAGGAATTCCTCATTCTTATCCTAGGAATTAGAACTAGTTTTCTGAAGCATTAAAAAAAGATTAACATTTCCTTCACTTTGGGGATAGTCCCTGATAGTCCGCAGAAATATGAGATTTAACATTCAGTTTAAAAAGTGTTATTGGGATGTTAGAAATTATAATTTTAATCAAAGCCTTGCACCGAGTTTTTTGGAACAAAGGTATCGTAGTTCATCTCATCAGAAATCACTCAATTTTCTTATTAAAAAATGTTGACACATGAAGTCTTGGTTCTTCACTGGTTATTTTAAGATATACATTCAATTTAGAGAAAGTATTTACTCCCTTAAACTATAATTCTTTTGTTCCCTCCACTTGTCTTGACATGGATTTTGAATTTGCCAGAGCTACCCAGAATTTGAATAGCCACTACTAAAGATCTGTCAATAACTTACTAGTAAAATGAGCATGAATTATTATTCATTCACATAGCACTTATAATGTTTTCAACATACCATCACATCTATCATCTTTCCTTCCCCACCCCAAATACATTCCTAAAAAGCAATAAGGCAGGCATTAGTTACATATTACAATATAAACTGGGGCTCAGGTAAAAATAAGCAATGAATTTGTCAAAGTCACATAGCAAACTTGAACCAGAACTGAGACTAGTTATCTGACTCCAGATGTACTTTCTTATTTTATCATCCTGTCCAGTTTCCCCAAAATTCCATTTGGTACAAAGAATACACTAAAGTTAGAAAAATAAAATTAAAGAAACATCTGGTCCATCTTCACTGATGTGGTGTTTCACTGGCTCTGATTTAAGTAACTGCAAACAATACTCACTGATCTGTTCTTCTTGGGTTATTGGCTCCTCATCATCTGGAAGGTAACGCTTATCAATTGCCTCTTTAATCTGGTTATTGGCTCCTTTAGGATCTAAATCCATAGCCCAAGAGAAATTCATCAGGGCGAGGTGTGTCTGACCTAACTTCTTATAAACCTAAAAATAAACAACAGCACTACATTTTTTATTAAGTTAGGAGTTTCTACTGTAAAATTCTAAACATTTATAACTTAAACTAGAGGCCCAGTGCACAAAATTACATGCACTGGGGTGTGGAGGGGGGGAGAAGGGGTCCCTCAGCCCAGCCTGCACTCTCTCCCAGTCCAAGAGCCCTCAGGGAATGTTGGACTGCTGCAGAGACGGGAGAAGCTCCTGCTACTACCGTGAGGCTGGCTTCGTGGTGCTCCCCCTGTGGGAGAGCACTGACCACCAGGGAGCAGCTTTTGCATTGAGCGTCTACCCTCTGGTGGTCAGTGACATCATAGTGACTGGTTGTTCTGCCGTTTGGTTGATTTGCATATTACCTTTTTATTATATAGGATTAGGCTCCTAATTTATATACTATAAACCCATTCTGATGATTAGGACATTTAAATCCTATAGAAGAAAAAACTCATGTCAATTTTTAATATATTCAGATATTACTTTTAGAATTCCTTGCCTATATCTCTCAGATAGTGAGATTCCAATAAAATTTTGCTCTAAATGAAACAATGACAATGGAAAAAAATGGACTATAAAAGGCTTGATTAGCATTCATTTCACTGTTGTTGTTTTTTAATATATTTTATTGATTTTTTACAGAGAAGAAGGGAGAGGGAGAGAGAGCTAGAAACATTGATGAGAGAAAAACATCAATCAGCTACCTCCTGCATACCACCTATTAGGGATGTGCCCACAATCAAGGTACATGTCCTTGACCAGAATCGAACCTGGGACCCTTGAGTCCGCAGGCAAACGCTGTATCCACTGAAGCAAACTGGCCAGGGCAATTTCACTGGTTTTTAAAAGAAGTTATTTCAACTCTGAACATCAGCCCATTGTTACCAAATACCCTAACTAACTGGCACCTGGAAGCCCAGTCTGTACTGTCATGAATTTTCTTCTTTTGGTAATTTTTATTGATAATTGGAAGCTCAGAGCTTTCTATAAGGTAGTCTCAAGTTATGAATTCATTACTGGTCATTGGCTACAAGTGCTAATAAACTTCCAAAGCAATTATGGGATGTGTGTACTTCCCCTTTCATTAGGATATATTATCTTTTTAAATGTTAAAACTAAATCCATTCTTTATTCCCAGAGCATTTAGTTCAGAACTCTAGTTGAATTTGCTTCATAGATGTTGCACAATAAGCATTATATTTGTTTTCCAAAAGTTAATACTTGTTATCAAAGCCACAGTAGGACCATGGCCCCAATCTTTACCTTTCCTATTAAGAAGTATACAAGGGATTCTTTGGGAACAATTTGTTTCAATTCTTCAAGTTCTTGTAAAGCAGACTGAAAAAAGCAAAGGAAAACATCATCTTAACTAAAGCTTAACTTAAGCAATATAAACCCAAAGACTATTAAGACATATATCTCTTACCTTATATTTTTCATTCGCAAATAAAACTGAGGCTCTGTGAAATTTGCATAGAGGGTTCTTAGGATCAATAACAATGGCTTTGTTTAGAGTATCCAAAGCCTTCTCAGATTTTTTCAGTGCATGCTGAACCTGTAAGAAATAAAGATCCTAACTGATATTTCCTTCTAATATATATATTTTAAAGGCTAATATGCAAAGTGTCCTCTTGGGAGTTTGATGGCTCGCTATGATGTGTATTGACCAACAGGGAAAGCCAGCGGCAGGAGGAAGGCCCTGGTCACCGGCCAGGCCTAGGGTTCCTGCCCGGGAATGAATTTTGTGCGCTGGGCCTCTAGTATATATATTTTCAAATTAATTTCAGAGAGGAAGGGAAAGGAAGAGAGAGATAGAAACATCAATGATGAGAGAATTATTGATTGGCTGCCTCCTGCAAACCTCCAACTGGGAATCAAGCTCACAACCTGAGCATGTGCCCTAACCGGGAATCTGACTATGACATCCTGGTTCACAGATTGATGCCAATCCACTAAGCCATGCTGGTAGGGCTTCTTCTAATATTTTTTTAAGGAAAGTGAGACTAAAAAATGTGACTCAAAACCACAGAAAGATAATAAAACTATGAGAGATAAGGTTGTATTGTCCCACTAGATGGTTCACTAGGTTAAGTGAATTTAGTAATTGGTTACTATACTGTTAGATTATCTCTAAAATCTCTTTCAAGCACTTCACTTTAAAGATAAGAACACTAAAATCCAGAGATGTTAAATAACTTGCCCTGGAGTCAGAACTTCGGTTCTGTGGCTCCCAATTCACCATAATGTATCCATAATGATAATTAAAATCCTAATTTTAGAGAAGACATTAGGTTTACCTTTAAATCTAAAAGGCAAGAAAAACCTTGGTTTTCCCTTCACAAAAATTTCTGCACTATTTAGCTAATACCTACATTTCAACAGGTCTATTATGGACTGCTAAGTATTAGGCTTTTTAAAATTGTATTTAAGACCCCTAGAAGATTTGACTCTAAATCTTACTAAACTTGTTTTACTCAAAACTATTACACTTTACCTACTTTAGGAATTTATTATAAAAGTAATTCTTCTGTCTTACGTATTTGAAAACCATTTGATCTGTAATACTAGAGAATAAATTATTTATTTTAAACAACTTTTAAAAAAAACCCACCAAGCCTCACTGTTCATTCATGAATATATACTTCTGTTGTGCTCCTCCTTGGATGAATTATATGTTAGAAATAAAGTGGAGTGAATAGATGTGGCTGTAGAACAAATATCACTGTAACAAGAATGTGAGAGTAAGTACTGCCAACATCTGGTTGCTAAATTAATCTATGTGGTCTTTGCAGAAGGTTATTACTACATGTGGCCAAATACTCTGCTCACAGAATTGAAATCTTAAATACTAGTTTTCTAAGAGAGAAAAGCATACTCTTTTAACTGAAAACCTCTTCCAATAAGCCATTCAAAATGTTAAAAATGATTTCTTCCACAATAATTTTAGAAAAAAGCCTACTTAAAAAAAAGTTTGCCCTAGCTGACTTGGCTCAGTAGATAGAGTGTCGGCCTGCAGACTGAAGGGTCCTGGATTCAATTCCGGTCAAAGGCACATGCCAGGCTTGCAGGCTCGATCCCTGGTTGGGGGTGTACAAGAGGCAGCCAATCAACAACTCTCTCTCATCACTGTTATTTCCAAATTTTTCTCCCTCTCCATTTCTCTTTAAAATCAATTAAAAAAAAAAAAAAAAAAAAAAAAAAAAAAAAAAAAAAAAGCTAAAACTGGTTTGGCTCAGTGGATAGTGTCGGCCTGCGGACTGAAGGGTCCCGGGTTCGATTCCGGACAAGGGCATGTATCTTGGTTGCAGGCACATCCCCAGTAGGGGGTGTGCAAGAGGCAGCCGGTCAATGATTCTCTCTTATCGATGTTTCTAACTCTCTATCCCTTTCTCTTCCTCTCTGTAAAAAATCAATAAAATATATTTTTTTTAAAAAAAGGTCCAACTTTACTAAAGGTTATCATTTGATTTTCTCATGTTAAGTGTTGAAAATATGTCAATATATTTTCTCTATATTTTTGTATAGTGTCTAATTATAAGTTATCACATCAATTTTAAAGAAAATTATAAAGAACTAGGATTATTCCCCAAAATGAATAGTAAAATTCCAAAGAACATAATTTCCTCATATTGTATGCCCAGTCCCACAAAACCAAATGTGTTGAGAGAAAGATAAAGGGGGGGGGGAGGAAAAGACAGAGGCGAAAAGAGAAGGCAAGAACAAAAAGGGTTTTTGTTTTTATAGAAAAACTAATAAATGAGATTTTAATAAGTAAACATATCTTCTCTCCTTACAAAGTACAACTTATCATCAGATACATAAAAAAAAGTATATAAATATAAAATTGTTGATCCACATTACCTTATATGAATTTTAGGCTAAAATACAGGAAACATTTGCCTTAGAGTATTAATTACTTAATTCAGAGCTAAATATTAACATGAAAAAGTACTTTCAAAAATATAAATTATCTAATGTGAGTCTTAAGAGCCCTATGAGGTAGTCAAGGTGGTATTATTTGTCATTTATAAAATAGAAGCTCAGAGAAATTAAGTGACTTGTCTAAGAGATAAGGATACATCAGTTATTTCTCTTTATGTCAAGAAAAACATAGTATTTTTGGCTGCAAAATAATCCAGGATATTGTTTCAAGAATAACAACAATAAAAAAAAGCCCTTATATAGCAATTAAGTCAATAAGAAACACATTTTAAAAGGGAGACTAATTGAACAATATTTAGAAAGCTACTTACTACTCCAATGTGGCAAAGTAAAACTGAACTTTGAGGGTTGATATCAAGTGCTTTCTGGAAATGCATTTCTGCAAGGCTGAATTTTTCTTGCTTATAATAAATCATTCCTAAACCATACCTGAAAGTATAAAAGTATAATTTTAGGTATATAAGCTGTGGTGGCTAATTTAGTTCAACTAATAAAAGAATTATGTATGGAATCTAATAAACCAGTAGAAAAATAGAAAAATCATCTAAGCATTTAGACATGTCACTTTTACAAGTGGTAACAATAAAATCCATCAATCAAATAAAAGTATGAAGATGTGGGGGGAAAGAAACCATGTCCTTAAGCCAATCAAGATTTAATAGCTGCTTTGTCATGAGTGGTTATTATATGTGTGCCAATAACTTTGTAAAATTCTTCACATAAATTATCTCATTTAATCCTAGGAGGAACCAAGGAGATCAGTACTGTTATCATTTACATTTTCAAATAGAAAAACTAAGACTTAGAAAAGTCAACTTAATTTGTCCAAAATATATACCAAATAAGAATTCTAACCAGATTCTTCTTTGATTCTAAACCCTAACCTCCTAACAATGCTATTTCCATATTCTTTGTCCAAATATGTATGTACTTTATATAATTATAATATGCATAGTGTCATGTTCTGCTTCTCTCTTTTCATTTACTGTATCAAAAACATGTTCCTATAGATTTCAAAATTATAATTTTAATAATATAATAAGTATAAAATAATTATGAAATTTTATAATTATAATTATCAGATAGACCTCAAAATTATAAATTTTAACAGCTATGTAATGACATAGTAAGTTGATATACAGGTATTTCTCCAGAATTTTCAAATGAACATAATATGACTGATTGACATTAAGGAAACTTTCTTGGCTATAACTAAATGATGATGAGGAATAAGCACCAAATGAATAAGAAGAATATCGTACTGTATCTGCTTTTAAGTGGCTTTGTTGATTACTATAATGGTATTAGAGGTAAAGAAAGCATATAAAAAGCTCTGTTCTTTTTTTAATATATTTTTTTATATTTTAAAAACTGAATTCAGAATTCAGAGAGGAAAGGAAAAGGAGAGAATGATAGAAACATCAATGATGAGAGAGAATCATTGATTGGCTGCCTCTAGCATGCCCTCTATCGGGGATTGAGCCTCAACCTGGGCATGTGCCCTTAATGGGAATCAAACCCTTCAGTCCACAAGCGGATGCTCTATCCACTAAACAAAACCGGCCAGGGCAAAAACTCTATTCTAATAATGGTGAAAGCAGGGAAAGAAAAGACTATTTACTTTGGAGTTCAAATAATAAATTTACTTAATGTTTAGATAGTTATATAGTTAACTAAATTTCTCAATATTTAATTATTCTAGTAAAAAAACTCTCTAAACATTCCTTCTTTTCCCAAATGAAACAATTATTTTTATAACATGATTTTTGATACAGTAAAGTTTTTTTTAAAGAATAAAATATAGCAGAACAGACATTACAAATCTAAAAAACAACCAAGTCCTATTAAGAACTGAATTTTTAAAATATTAGAGAACTTTATATTTATATGAAGAACAGTCAGTGTTGGAAAGGCCCTGATGTTTAACATACCAGCGGAAGCTAGCACTTATCAGGCTATCTAGCATTACAAGCAATGTTAGAAATGAGATGAAATTTAGAAATGAGATGAAATTCATTAAAAATATATCAATATCAAAAACTATTTTAGGAATCTAGTGCTTCTGATTTAGTGAGAAACAGAATAAAATTCAATTGCTATACTGATTAACCCAAAAGATATAAAACACAAACATGCCTGACAAAAATTACCACATAATTGCAATACCAAAATAACACTTCTTGATATTTGAATTCTGTAGATATTCAAGAAAAACACAACAAAATATCAACAGTAAATATAATGCTGAGGCAGAAATAAGAACTCTCCCATGTTTTCTTCGTTTGATAACAATATGAGCCAGTTAGTAATTTCCTATTTGTCTACTTGTGTACAAGTACAAAAAAATAAAACCTGCCCGCCTGGAGTGGCTCAGTGGTTGAGTGTTGACTTATGAATTAGGAGGTTACAGTTCAATTCCCGATCAGAGCATAAGCTCGTGTTTTGGGGCTCGATCCCCATTGTGGGCATGCAGGAGGGAGCTGATCAATGATTCTCGCTCATCATTGATAAGTCTATCTCTCTCTCCCTTCTTTTCTGAAATCAATAAAAATATTTTTTAACTAAAAAAGTAAAACCTGAGTTCCTAATAAACTTAATTAACTAGAACTAACACTTAATAAACTAGAATACTACCAAAGATTAACAATTAGTATATAGTTTCAATGCTTACATTCTACTATCCAATGGATGAATTATACTATTTTTCTTCATTTTTCATCCTAATCACCATTTTAGTGTTCTTAAAAAAAAGTAAGAAATCAAAGTAACAAAATCAATTATTTGAAAAAGTCTGATAGGAGAAAAGGTTGAAACTGCTGAGTATAAGGACCTGGTATTCTACTATGATTAGTTAGTTGAAGAGTTTGTTAAAGGTATAAACTTCACATAAAAAATATTTTGGTTAGATATTATCAACCAGTATGTACCACTCTTAAGTATTAGTAATCAAATTCATGACAACAGAGAGCTATCTAATAAGAAAAATCACAATATCAGCCCCATTAATAAGACACTATCTTTGCACTCCATTAGCACTTACCATGCATTATAATGTCTAGGATTGACTCTGATAGCATTTCGAAAACAAGCTAATGCTTTGTCTAATTCTTCAGTTAAGACAAACTCATGCCCTAATAGAGTATAGGCATAAGCATAATTTGGATCAACCTGGATAGCTCTCTGGAAGAATTTAATTGCAATATCATGTTCCCGTTGCAAACTGAAACAGTTCCCTGCAGCACACCAGGCCTTAAAAACATGGAAAAAACAAACAAAAAATGCACAATTAAATTTTTGTTTTATTTTTTTTAACAAACAAATCTATGGCTAAAATTAGAACAGAAAGATGCAAACTGGACAGTTTTAATAGATATAGTCAATCCTCATTATTCATATTTGCAAAATTGCCTACTTGCTAAAATTTGAAAACCCAAACCAATAGTTGCAGTGCTTTAATGGATCTAAAACATGGGATGTCCAACAGGTATAGTCTCAGTCTCAGTGAGGTTAAAAAAAAAAGACAACTCCTTACCTTATTTTCATAGGTCAGTGACCAAAAGAGAGAGACTATAGGGAGGGCAATGCAGAGAGGGCTCAGGTTCTGGGACCAGATGGACAGTTTGAATCTCAGTTCCGGCACCTGTTTGTATGGTGGCCTCAGAAAGGCACCTTAACATTTCTGCACCTCATTTTCTCTTTTGTAAAATAAACAGAATGTATCAGGCTGAGTTGTTTTTAGGATGTAAGATTATAATCTATAATCAGTGTAGGCACACGTGCGTACGTGCTTATTTCTCCAAAGAGCAATGGTTCAGTATATGCTAATTCATTGTTCTTAAAGACTATCCTATATAATAAAAGGCTAATATGCAAACTGTCCCTTCAATAGGGAATTCAACCAGGGGGTGGAGCTAGCTGGCCAACCACCTGATGTCCCCCGCCAGACTCCACCTATGCACAAATTCATGCACTAGGCCTCTAGTAGAACATAATTACCAAATATAACAGGAATTGACTTTTACATTCTAAGTTTAAATATGTTCTAAAATTACCACTAAATATTCTTGAGATACACTAAAATACAATTCTTACACAATTGCACCATGTGAATGAATTAATTTGTCTTAAACTGACAATTAAAATTACTATTTTCTTTCAATTTAAAATGACAAATTTTCAGTCTATTTAATTTCTGCTTAATGAACTGTAATCTTAGTGATAACAGCAATTTTAATACAGCCAAATCTCTATTAATCCTAAATAAAATACCTACTTCATGATTTTCCTATTTAGGAATCTGTAACATCTATTTTAGGACTCTCTTCTTTCCTGAGTCCTGTCTACAGAGAAGGGTATGGGTAATATTAAATGGCATTTGAATTATTTAGTTCATCTCAATTTTGTAACAGTGATTAAAAAAATAGCTACATAAGTAAAGTGTTTCAGTAACATACCTCTGGTGAATTTTTATCCATGTCTGTTAAGTCTTTTGAAAGTACTGAAAGAGCAACATCCTTTTGAAGATGCCACAGTGTTGTAGAGTAGATCTCCATGCCTTCAACTCTGTAATTCTCAATTCTTCTAACCTCTGAGAATATCCTTTCAGCCTGAAATACAAAAACTAGTAAGGGGAAAACAAGTTGACACAATTTACATGTATATAGGGAGAGCACTGGGCTCTCTTCTCATAGGACCTTCATGCCTCCTTGTTAAATGGTTGTGTGAGTTAGTAATAACACAAGGCCAAACTGAGCAACTTTTCATGGCAGGTCAAATGTTGATATAATCACATTCACACTTAACTTAGTTTTTATACACAAGTCATAGTAGAAACATGAATTCTGAAAAGAACTCTTAAGTTTCCACACACACAAAAAGGTCTATTCAAAGTTACAATTTAAAAAGGACAAGTCAATTATTTTATTTTAAAAAACCACATTTCAAAGTTTTAATATTATGGCTTTACAGACTAACTTTCCCTCAGGAAAGGTGAGAGAAGAATAGGTAACAAAAAACAAAAACAAAAAAACCCTCTATTTTTGTACTGACTTTTATTAAGAAGTTGTGTTGAAAACTTTAGAGGAAAAACAGGTTCACACATGTTGAGCACTTACTATACCCACCAATGTCACATCTGCCAGAAATTATCCCTATGTAGTAATTCTTTTTCCCTTTCTGGCACTCTCTTGACTTAGGGTCCCTCCTGAGCTATCAGATCAAATGATTTCCTCTCCACAGTCACAGCTCCCAGAGCTGTGCTTCTCTCCCCCTGGAGTTTGAGACTTTGGTTTATATAAAACCTATTAGTTCCTTCATTTATCAATTCAGTAAGTTCAAAATTCTGAAAGTCATGTTTAGTTTAGAATTAAAGAATATATGGTCTGTTCTTAATGAAATTAAGATGACATAAAATAAGAAAATAATATTTCTAAAACCAGGAGCTTAATTCTAAGAAATGGCCATATACTATCTAGGATAGCTTGATGACTTGTAACTTCCCTGAAATAAGTTATACAGATACAATTTTCAAACAGGCATTGATTACAAGAAGATACAAATTTCGAAAATGTTTTCAAATTTTCCAGAATCTATTGTTTCTTCTGAAAAGTGATTGTGGCATAGACAAGAAAATACTTTAAAAAAATCATAACTTTTAAGTTGAAACAAAGGCTTTCTTCAGTTAAATATATGGATCTATATCTGCTCTATAATTAGGGAAAAACAACAAAATTAAAGTATCTTAAAGTACTTGTAAAACAGTAAATTAGAAATAATTTTGAAAAGGGCTTGCCAAACACAACTTTTGCCTGTGTACCAGTAAAGGACCACAGTCCAAACATGGGTCTTCTACCAACGAATAAGACTATAGCTCTTTCTCTCTTTACTTCACAAAATTACATGAACAGGTAACTTCTGCATTTATTCTCTATCTGGAAGAACACTACACCACTAAATCTTTATATGGCTCATAAAGGGAGGAGTTAAGTTCTTCCTCTGAGCACACTTAAAAAAAAAAAACCTTACTTTACCAGACCCCAGCAGCAAGCTAACCCTCAGGTCAGAGCATCTGTCCCTGGTGATCAGTGCACATCATAGCAACTGGTTGAGTGGCCTTAGCAAATCATGGGCATATTATGCTTTGATTGAACAGCCCACAGGACACCTAGCATATTAGGCTTTTATTTTAATTAATTAATTAATTAATCAATTAATTTATTTATATTTTATTGATTTTTAACAGAGAGAAAGGGAGAGAGATAGAGAGCTAGAAACGTCGATGAGAGAGAAACATCGACCAGCTGCCTCTTGCACACCCCTACCGGGAATGTGCCTGCAACCAAGGTACATGCCCTTGACCGGAATCGAACCTGGGATCTTTCAGTCCGCAGACCGACGCTCTACCACTGAGCCAAACCGGCTTCGGCTAGGCTTTTATTTTATAGGATATGAAATGCCAACTATTCAATCCAGTAAGAACTCTGAATATAGTAGAAAGAATTTTTACTAAAATATCTATTACATGGTAAATATATATTTTCAGATTCAACTGAGTTCAAATGTTCCACATAAGAATGTATGCAACCCTGTCCTCAACTACAGAAAAGAAAAAAAAAGAATGTATGGGCCCAGGCCAGGATGGCTAAGTTGGTTGGAAAGACATTCTGTATACTTAAAGGTTGCTGGTTCAATTCCTGGTCAGGGCACATACTGAGATTGAGTGTTCAATCCCCAGTCAGGGCAAGTATGGGAGGCAAGCAATAGATGCTTCTATCACATCGACGTGTCTCTCTCTCTCTTTTTTCATTCTCTCTCTCTCTCTCTCTTAACCCCCTCACCCCTCTAATCAATAAAAAAAAATTCTCGGGTGAGGATTAAAAAAATAAATGTATGGATGACTTGGGTTATTCTCTACAAATCTACTTCAAGTAATCCTAAAGAATTTAAATCCCTCACCCTTTAACACAAGGGGTATTTATAAATTATAAATACTGAGAAAATACAGACATTACATAATATTGACCTTTTAGATCTAGCCTTGCTAAGCACAGGCATTAATTACATTTCAGTTATGTGTTAAAAGGCATATATAACTGTTTTCTATACTTACTTGCATGTACTCTGAAAGTTCAAAATAGGCCCTTCCAATTTGGCACAGTACCCAACCAGTATTGTAGTGATGAGAAGGTAGGTGGCTCAAGATATTTATAGCTTCTTTGCAGTTGTATGAACACAAAGCTAAATAACCTTTTCCCATTTCACGAAGAAGGCTCATCAAACCTTCTAGGAGAAAACAATGTAGTAAACAAAGGAGAAAAGACAATGAAACAGCTTGGTTTTCTAGAAAGGCTAATTATAAAATTATTTATTAAAAATTCCAACATTTATTTAGATAAAATGAAAGAAATTTTAGAGAACATAAAAAAAAAACAACCAACCTTACTTAAAATAGTGAATAAAATACAAAGAAGATATTCAGCATTTAAAACAGACCTGCTGCTGCTTTCTGTAGATTAAATGCCTGGATCTGAGGTGTAATTGTAGAAATTTTCCCTTCTGAAATGATGGAAGAATCCAATTTTGTAATTTCCAGGCTATCATTTATGTTAGGTTGAGTTATTCCTCCTTTATTAGTTTTACTTTTTGTTTTTCTGTTTGGGATTTTAGGTGGAAACTTCATTTTTAATTTTTTGCTATTCTCCTGTAAAAAAAACAGGAAAACCCCACACTTGTTACACTCATGTATTTTAGACATTCCCCCAACCCTTTCTCAAATATTAGATAAAAATAAATGTACAACCTTGTGTATAATCTTGACTGATGTTTATTTTTCTCAGAAAAAAATTTATAAAGACAAGTCTTTAAAGTCATTTAATTTTAAAATTCCAAAAATAATTCATATTAACCAGTGTTTAAGATAAATTAGCATTAAATGCTGCTCTTTTCTGAAAGTATATCATTTTCATTTATTATTTAAAAATAAGAAAAGTAGATGCAATACTATTTGCCTCAGAGCATCATAAAACTTTTGAACTGAATGTCAAAGATTATCCTTAATATTTGTCAATGGACCAAGGAAATTTACCAAAGACATAATGAGACGCTTTAATTATGCAAAGAAATGTGTAAAGAAAATTTCCATTTACTCTTCTCCCAATTTTCACCAATGACAACATCTGACATAACCATAGTACATCATCAAATCCATGAAACTCGAGTTAGTATAATACTATCAACTAAACTACAGACCTTATTTGGATTTCATCAGTTTTTTACATGCACTTTTTTTGGGGAGGGTGGATGTGCACAGATCTATGAATTTTATAATATGTATGGATTTGTATAATCCACTGCCACAATAAAGAAGCAGAATATTCTATCAACACAAAGAAATTCCCTGGTGCTATGCTTTAAAAGTCATATCCTCCCCTAGTTCTAACTACTAAAAACCACTGATCTGTTCTCCAACATAATTTTGTTATTTCAACTAAGTTATAAAATATTTAATAAAGGACAAAGAAAATTTACAAATGTTATATAGATGGCTCCCCAAATTAAAAAAAAAATTTCCACAGTCAATTTATTTATTAGAAATTGAGTCATTGATGAACAAAAATTTTAGAGGGGAAAGCATTACCTTGGTTGTAGAGCTGTCACTAGTAAAAAGTCGTGAACTTCTTCGAGGCAGTGCATTTGGGGGAGATGCGATAGTGGGGCTCAATACCTGAGGTGTCGTACTAAAAATATATATAAAAGTAGACATTAAAAAAAAACTTTTTATGACCATAAACTGTTGCTTCAATTTAGTATATTAAAAAATAAACATTCAACATGTTTGCACTCTAAAGTTGATGAGTTTGGTTAGTCCTTTTCTCATCCCTCTATGAAAACTCAGATTTAAATACTATTTGTGTTACCATAATATAATAATTATACTACAGACATTTGCTCTATCTGAAATTGCCAATTTAAACTTAAAACAAGCCACATAAAAATTCTGGTCAATAAAAGGTAAACTTATAAACCAATTATCTCTAGCCCTCATTTGCAACTATAGCAAATTAGAGAAAAAGGAAAAGATAATTGGCCATGGATAGTTTAAATGTAGGGATATTTCCCAACAAATACCACCAGAACAACTTATACTTGAGAAGTATTCCCTATAAATTCAAACAACACATCAAAATTTATAGAACAAAAGAAATATAATAATCTCTTGGGTACATTTTTTTTTTTTTTTAAAGGATTCCATGAACCTCAGAATTTCTTCAGGATGGAGACCAATGACTCCAGCATCCTATAGGTTCCATTTCCATGCACCTCTTTTTTTTTAATAATAAATATTTTATTGAATTTTTACAGAGAAGAAGAGAGAGGGATAGAGTTAGAAACATCGATGAGAGAGAATCATCGATCAGCTGCCTCTTGCACACCCTTTAGTTGGGATGTGCCCGCAACCAAGGTACATGCCCTTGACCAGAATCGAACCCGGAACCTTTCAGTCCGCAGACCAACACTCTATCCATTGAGCCAAACCGGTTTCAGCGGGTACATTTTTTTTTTTAATGTATATAAACTTTTTATTTATTTTATTTTTTTTAATATATTTTATTGATTTTTACAGAGAGGAGGGGAGAGGGATAGAGAGTCAGAAACATCGATGAGAGAGAAACATCGATCAGCTGCCTCTTGCACACTCCACCACTGGGGATGTGCCTGCAACCAAAGTACATGCCCCCCACTGGAATCGAACCTGGGACCTTTCAGTCCCCAGACCGATGCTCTATCATGAGCCAAACTGGTTTCGGCAAAAATTTTTTTTTTTCTTTTCCTCGGCAAGAATTTCATTCTTAGAAAGCAAATATCTGTGTTTTCCAATGGTCTTAGGCTCTACAGCAGCGGTTGAGAACACAGATATTTACATTACGATTCATTAACAGTAGAAAAATTAGTTATGAAGTAGCAACAAAAATAATTTTATGGTTGGGGTCACCACAACATGAGGAACTGTATTAAAGGGTCGAGGCATTAGAAAGATTGAGACCACTGCTCTAGAGGCTTCGGAGGTTGTATGAGCCTCAAACACTTTTATTTTGGATTATTGTGTCTAGAATTGTGAGTGAATAAATTTCTGTTATTTTAAACCATCCAGTTTGTGGTACTTTGTTTCAGCAGCTATAGGAAACAAATATAGAATTAAGTAGGTAATACAAAGAACATAGAATTATTAATGGTCGATGTTTATTAGTGTATTTGTTTAGTTTTAAAAAAAAAATATTTTATTGATTTTTTACAGAGAGGAAGAGAGAGGGACAGAGAGTTAGAAACACTGATGAGAATCATTGATCAGCTGCCTCCTACACACCCCCTACTGGGGATGTGCCGGAACCAAGGTACATGCCCTTGACTGGAATCGAACCTGGGACCTTTCAGTCCATAGGCTGATGCTCTATCCACTGAGCCAAACCAGTTTCAGCTGTTTGTTTAGTTTTTAAGTGAAATGTATAATTCAATAAATATTTAAGTATTCTTTAAGATTAGCATATACTCAGCCTATATAAAATTACTCTGCAGGAGACCTCAGGCTCCTTCTCATAACTGAACCTCAGGCAATTTGTCATCTGTCTTCAAGATGGCACTCATGAGGACACTTATAATCCTGCTGCTTTAGAAATATTAAAGTCTTTTATATAGTCATGTTATATGCATACTTGTGACTTTTAAGGCTTATGATACATGTCCATACTATTTGAGAAGGAAAGAGACATATATGTTTACAGAAATGCATAGCAGGAATGGGAGAATGAAACCTATCTGTACTTGACCTGTGAAGAAGGTCACACAAATAAGAGGACAATTACTTTGGCGGAGTGCTTGGAATATCTAGCTTAAACAAATACATGAGGCAATTAAACTAAAAAGATATTTTAGCTAATTCCTGTTTTGATTTGCATTATAATGTTCAACTAAAAATTAACACTAGTCTTTTTTAGTAAGTTAGAAATTTCTCAAATTTGACGTATTCAAAATTTATAATAGTCATTCTAGAATTCTTGGGAGAGTCAAAACCTGCCTATATGGAAGTATAGCAAGAAGAGCTAAACAATACCAAGTAACACACCATAATAAATAAATACCTTGTTTGTGGGCCAGAACTTTGTGTTTGTGCAACAAGAACTGGAGTTACCTCTCGACTATTTCCACTCTGTGAGAAGACAGATTTTGTTCCAGTTTGGCCGATTCTGGCAACAGACTGTAAAACACAAAATGTTTAAGGTTTGTGAATTATAGATTGCATTCTAAATAATAAAAGATATATGATGCTCCCATCTCCATTATCCAAATGCAAGAATTCATAATATATTACTGTCACTTGAATACACAAGCTACCAATTTCATTGTCATTATTAATGTCACATTAGAATGAACATCAGCCTATTTCTAATTTTAACCCCAGTATTTTTATCTTTATACTATCCTGTCATCTTTTAATGTAAGTTTTAAGGAAAGGCTCAAGTTCCTGGAAATCATTTATTACATCTTCTCCAGTTGGTGCTAATTCTAAAGAATTTTAAAACAGCTACAATTCTCAAGATTTATGATCTACTTTAGTATACATAAAAAATAATATAGCCCAGCTGGCATGGCTCAGTGGTTGAGCATCGATTTGGAGGTCACTGTTCAATTTCCAGTCAGAGCACATGCCTGGGTTGCAGGCTCAATACCCTATAGGGAGTGTGCAGGAAGCAGCCAATCAATGATTCTCTGTTATCAATGATGTTTCTATCCCTTTTCCCCTCTCCCTTCCTTTCTGAAATCAATAAAAATATTTTAAAAATATATAGAATAAGATTTTTAAAAATATATATTTTATTGATTTTTTTTTATAGAGAGGAAGAGAGAGGGAAAGAGAGTCAGAAACATCGATGAGAGAGAATCATCGATCAGCTGCCTCTTGCACACCCCCCACTGGGGATGTGCCCGCAACCAAGGTACATGCCCTTGACCGGAATCGAATCTGGGACCTTTCAGTCCCCAGGCCGATGCTTTATCCACTGAGCCAAACTGGTTTTCTGCTAGAATAAGATTTTTATAACCCTTCTTTGGCACTTAGTAAAAAGCAGTTCTATACAGGTATATCCGACTTTTTGAAAATTCATGATTTTCGCATTTATGAAAAAAGTTTAAAGCAAAAATACTGTTTAGCATTTGATTTGCAAGGAGCTGTTAGAAGCTTTGAGAGCCTCCAGCAGTAAGAGTGGTTCCAGTAAACTCCTTCCCTGGGAACTACAGCCAGCATCAAGCCACCAGAGCATGGAACTGTGTCTGTGAACACCCGTGCTTTATTTTGTCACTCATTAGCAAGATATGTCCTCAAGTATGAGAAAATCTCATAAGGATGTTATGTATAGCAAAAAACCAGATGTACCTAAGCATTTCAATTGTGTTGAACGAAATAAAGATGTGCATGCATTGAATTTTTGGTCTGGGAATGCTCAAAATATTTCTTTATAAATTATTTACAATTTATAAATTATAAACTACTTATTTGCTTTAAACCATTTTGGCTTACAAAAGGTTTCATGATACTCTATTTTTGGATAGTGAGGGAAACATACAGTAGTTAGAGGAGTAGGTTTAAAAAGAATTAATCAAATTATTTTCCAGATTCTAAGGATATTGCTCTTAGATTTAATATTTCTTTCTAGTGTATACAATCTTTCATTAATTAGTTTCTGCTGTCTGGAGGGGTGAAAAACCTGTTGCTTGCTCCTTTGTCTTCTCTAATTAACACCTTATTTCTATTCATTTTCTCACTTAGCTTCTTTATAGAGATCAATGACTATTGAATCAATGGATGTTTTAAATTTCATTACTACCAGATAATTTTCTTCAAAACGTACCTGTTACTTTCATAGCTACTGTACATAAATCTCGACTGCACATTAAAAATAATCATGTTTTCATCAGATATGAAAGCCTAATTTTGGCCTTTTCTGCATTCATCATCACTGATCATCCCTCCTTTTTGAAACTTTCTAGAACTTCCAAAATAGTATAGCACCTTTATTATCTGCCTTACTTTTCATTTGCTGACCCCTCTTCCTTCCACTAACTATACTCTTTAGCTACTCTCTTTCCTTAGGAGAGTCTAGCCATTTTAACAGCTTTAATTATTATTTCTATCACCAGGCCATAGTCTTTACTGTATGATTATCCACTGAATATTTTCACCTAATCTACCACCACCTCACTTATATTCCTTCCTCCTTTTCCTTCTATAATATATTCACCCAAAGGAGAAAACTTAAAGTCAATTTGGGCCTTGTCTAACCAAGAACTATGTACTATTCCCACTAGTCAGTTTGATATTTTTAGTTGATACTGCATACAGACCTACAAGTATAGCTTTTCTAGGAACATCTTGTAATAGAGTAAGAAGAGAACAGAGGCATAATAAGTGGCTTTTATTATTTGGGCACTGAAATAATGTATCTCTCACTTCCTAACTTCTCCTGATTGCAATAGCTTTCCTAGTTCTGGCCTATTTCACTTGGCATGCTAACTACTATGCTACTATGCCTTCTCATAATTGTAATAAACTAATTTCCACAATTATTTTTCATTTTTAAAACAGTACAATACAAGGTAGTTGCCAATTTTAGAGATCACTTTTAAAATAACCTACACTTCAACTATTTTGCAGTCTCTTTTCACCACTCTTGAAACTTTTCTCCCCCGCTTTCCCCCTCTCCCTCTGGACTCTAAGGAAGTTCAGGAATAAAAGAGTAAAAAAACAAAAAACAAAAAACAGAAGAAACGTGTCTCTAGAGAGTAAAGGGGCTATATTGGTTATTCATATACTACTATTATTTACTTAGGCATGGCAAACAGGCATTTTACACATATAACCTAATTCAATCACCATAAAAGATACCTTGCACCACAGATAGATTTTAAACAAATAGCATTTTGACCTCTACTGCCATAGATCTTTATATAAAAGACTATTATAAAGAGAATCTCAAAACTTGTTCCAGTATTTACTGTAAGAATACTGTCAAATACTTTTCATTTTATTACACATTCTATATAAGAAAAGCCTAATATGCTAAGTGTCTGGTCATCAATCCAACCAATCAAAACATAATATGCTAATGATATGCTAAGGCCACTCAACTGCTCGCTATGATGTGCACTGACCACCAGGGGGCAGACAGTTGACAGGTTGACCAGTTGCTATGATGTGCACTATGAAGTGCACTAATAACCAGGGCGCAGATGTTCTGACCAATAGATTAGCTTGCTGTTGAGGTCCGACTGATCAGGACTGAGCAACACAGGTCAGACATGCCCTAGAGCCCTCCTGTGGTTCCTTCCCAGCCCCGATGGTGCACTGGTGGGGTCCCTTGGACTGGCCTGCACCCTCTCGCAATCTGGGACCCCTTGGGAGATTTTGGAGAACCAGTTTTGGCCTGATCCCACCAGCCAGGCCAAGGGACCCAACTGGTACACAAATTCATGCACTGAGCCTCTAGTTTACTATAAATTTACTACACATCTATGAGTAGCCACTATAAGAATTTTATTATCAGAAGCAGCTGGCTTTACATAGTCTTTTTTCCTTTTAACACTAGAATAATTAAAAAACAAACATGGTGATGGGGACAGGTAAAAACTGTGGCATGTATATTTCTTATTTATATTTAATGTGACAGAAACTCTTAATTTCATTAAGAAAAAACATAGGAAATTAAAAGTAAAAATCTGAATGTGTTTATTTGATGTATACTAAAAAGAGGAGCAACCAGGTTTGTGTCTCCAATTATAACAAGGAGGTTATGACAGTGATAATCTTTTACATTTAGATCAATAACTCTAAAGCAACAATAACTATATAAAGTTAGATTCTCTATGAAATTGCTTTTACCAGGTTAGAATTTTAAATGAATTTCTTTCATCGGTACCAAACTATATTTTACATGGAAAATACCTTTTTTGTAGGGGCTCCGGTGGGTGGCACATCAATTACAGAAGATGTATTAGTGTAGTTTTGTAAATAGGATCCATCTCCAGGACTTGGGGTTTCTAATGGCAAAATCCCAAAACTGAGAAGAGGTTGAAATCAAGGTGTCAAAAAGTCATCAAGGCATATATAAAGCAGCAGTATACTTAAATTAGAAGGTCTAAAAGGAAGAGAATGGCAAATCAGTCTTGGGGGCAGTGAAGATCTAAGGGGCAGATTAAAAATAAGCTATGAATGTAGACTACCACCATAACTAAAATTTAAAATACCAATCAATCAAGACTAAATTGAGCAGCAACTGATCTCAGGAGATTTATTATAAGAGTGGCTTTGTAAAAACTAAGTTCCCAATGATAAAATTTCTTAAAATTCTTGGAATTTAAGGGATTTGGACACTATTACAGAGAAAATGTGAATCCATTTATGGATTCAATGAGTTATTGTCATATGGTAATTCTATTTTAGTAGTTCCCTGGCGCTGGGACCTAATACTTAGTCTATTCTAGCATATTTTTTATTTTGATACTTTTGAATATGTATCCTCTAGGCTGGGTTCCTGTATTTATACATACATATACTTCTAATAATTTTCACAAATATTTCACATTAATAGGTGTCATTGCTTCCTCCATGTTTTTAAAAATAGCACTTTACCAACAACCATTGTCTGATTATATCATAAACATTTCAACATTCTAAAAGGTTCACTATTCACTGATGCACAAACATAAAGGCATCTTTTAATGCATACACTAACTCCATATGGCATATTTAAGAGTTTTTAAAGTTTCTCCAATACTTAATATTAAATCTTTATCACAGGTACTGTATTTTTTTACTTGATTTTGTAGAAACAGAATAGATTTATTATTGACTATTAAAAGCCTCTATTTCTATAATGATTTAAAAGTTGTTCATATTAATTTATATTACTAATAATATAAATTATTATAAAATAATTTAATATTATACAACATATTTTAAACTATCTTTTGTCTTACCTGGGCGTTAATGGGCTAAGAGCAGCTGGTCCTCCTAATAAGCTTCGACCAGTTTTTGGTTTATTTTGAACCTGTTTAGATAATATAGAAGTTCCTGTTCCAAGAGGGACAGTATCTGGTGAAATTACAGCTGAATCAATATAAGACACTGAGGAATCTGTATTCAAGGAATACTTTGAATTGGAAGATTCTAAATTCAGTCTGTTTAATTCCTGAAACAGAAAATTTCTACCATGACATTTACAATATCTTTTAGTTCATATCATTATTTTTCATTTTCATAATATTTTGAACACTAGACTATGATAGACTTACAATTGTGTCCTGGGGTGTTTCTGTAAGAACCGTCTCAGGTTGTCTGTGAGATAAATTATGATTAGATACTACTGTTGTGCAAGAGTTGGGCAGACAGTTGCTAAAGTTCTGTAAAGAGGTTAATTTAAATGTTTGGTCAGGATCTGGCTTTTCACCTGTGAAGGGAAAAAAAAAAAGTTTGCTTCTGAAGAAATGAATGTTAATTCTCCACCCCAGGTATGTATAAATCAGTGGAAATAGCCCTTTTCCAGAGTTTTAAAGTTCTACTGATCAAATTTACCTCCCAAAAGCCCACCCACCAATTTATTGCAAAGTTTACCTTTAAGAAAAAACTATAAAGTTAGGGAATAAACTAAACAGCAATGACATTGATTTTAAATATAACAAACCAGAGGAAAATGCCAATTTCTGTGTTTATTTTAAAGCAGAAAGCAAAGATCTTGATCTCATTTTGCTCAAATTAAGGAGAATTGAAACCCACTAGAAATATTATAATTTTAAGCACTTCCATGAATATAAATACAATGTGTTTTTAAAAAATATATTTTATTGATTTTTTTACAGAGGAAGGAAGAGGGATAGCGAGCCAGAAACATCGATTCAGCTGCCTCTTGCACACTCCCCACTGGGGATGTGCCCACAACCAAGGTACATGCCCTTGAATGGAATTAAACCTAGGACCCTTCAGTCCGCAGGCCGATGCTCTATTGACTGAGCCAAAATGGCCAGGGCTATAAACACAATATTTTAAAATGATCCTTCATGCACCCTAGAGTTTATATATGTGTGTGTGTGTGGGGGGGGGGGGGCGGGTGTATACTGAAACACCCCATATTTTCCAGGTCTTAATTTATATTATACAGTTTCTGCTTTGGGATTCTATTCATTTCTTTTCTTATCCATGAAGCTTTTTTGGTTAATGCTATACTTAAAATACAACTCATGCTACAGGACACAAGAAAAGCTACATTATTCCTGAAACATATGACTCTATCTTATTTCTTATTATCAATTTTAACATCCCTTTGGCTTTGAAAAATATTTTTTTCTGAATAATTTGTATCACATTCCAAAAATCAAGCAAGGAGAAATATAAAGAAGAGGAAACAGAGAACTCCTTCCCCTACAGCCAATTCTATAAACCTACCTATTTCACATAATGATTCAAAGGGGGACCAGAGGAAAGGATTTAAACTAAGGCTCTTTTGGTAACATTCTGATCCTTTGGCAAGCCGATCTGTTTTGCTGTAAAGGCAAACAAATCAATTAGACACACTACAAAACCTAAGACATATATTATAAGGAAATTTTTGGTACAGAAACTAGGTAAGTTTTACAAAAGTTCTGAGAATACTCTTCTTGATGCTTCCCTAAATCACCACTTTCCCCTTCTTACCATCCTCCAATCTCTATTACTTAGGGCAATTCAAGTCAAAAGTCAGCAAAAATAAACAGAACATAAATTAAAAGAAATGCTAACAAAGTAAACAAACTATTATTGCCATCTTGAATATTATGTTTTTTATGTACTGTCAGATACTAGAATTATCATACTAAAGGAGATATAATAAAAAACAACCAAATGTTTCATTCTTCTTTTCTTCATTTTTAATATAATATCCTATTGATAATTTTGAAATTTTATCACATTAATTTTTATTGTTATGATAAAAACTTATGAACTTCTGTTTACTGCTTATCTCCTCTACTCTATTATAAATCTCTGAGGGTGAATACTGTGAGTTATTTATCTTTATATCCCCAGTGCCAAGTACTGTGTCTAGCTGTAATGAGGATGAATCTCAAAGTTTCTTGAATAAGTGATAAGATGAATTATAGTTGCATGAACCAAATTAATAACTCTAAGTCTTTTTATTGAGATAAATGAAGATATTAATATTTTATCTTTACTTACTCCCATTTTCAAGAGTAGTGTCATCTGATCATGAGCCCCTAATTCAAATAATTTATTCTGTTCAAAGACATTTTCAAAACTACTATTAAACTAGCCTCAATTTACCTTAAAACAGATACTATCCTAATTTTTAGATAAACAATCCTTATCCATTTCTCCCATGATATGCAACAGATGACATTTATACTAGTGATACACTCTTGTGGTCAGTTGAATAATTCCTGTTACCTCATTACATCTTGACCCCTGTTCTCCAGCTCAAAGAGTATTTCAGAATAAAAATGTGATAACATTGAAGTCAATCTTGCTTTTAAAAGACTGAATTTAAATAAATATAAGTAAGTTTATTTACTTTATTACTGAAACTTGCCTTCAAAACTACTAAGGAGCAGCAGTGATATTTAATATTAGAGAAAAAACTCCACTCTTCTTTTTCCTCAGTGGATTACATGAAGATACTCTCCTCAACCAGGTAAAAACCCATATGCTCATTCAATTAGTAGGTAGTGTGTTGCTGTAGCTATTATCATTAAGGACAGTCAATATGAGATCAGCATCTCTAGTATTTTCCAGGTTTAACAAGGTCATGGAACTAGAAGACTGTACTACTACTCAGTCAAGTGCTATTTGATAAACACAGAATAGCATAGGTTTTTAAAATCTCAAAGCATTCTAGTATTGGAAATAATTTTCTGATAATTTGAATGATTCTTACCAATATATATGTCCCAACAATGAAAGAGTAAAGCAAGCTGAATCACCAAACTCAGTAACAATATCATCATGGCTTTTCTGTTTATTAAACACTCCACCAGATAAGATCTGTTCCCCTTCAGCAAGCCTTTAAAAACACAAATTTACAGACTTTAAAAAGTCAACAAAAAACACAAGACTGTAAATACATTCTTCATGACCAATGTACCACTTAATATAAAGATAGGTAAAATAAAAAGTTCATGAACCTTTAAAATACCAATAAACTTGTATTTAGAATTATTTGGGAAACAGGTAATTTATGATCTTAAAATTCCAGTCTTGCCTTTAAAAACAGAACCAGTTAAATTTACTCTGTATATACACATCTGGCCTAAACAACATATACAATACTCATGTCAAAAGAAATAGACTATTATCCTAGGGGGAAAATATGAATGGTTTTTCATTAACATGCTTGGTGACCCTTCTTAGTTTATAATTCCTTGAAATATAAATTTGCAAGAAAATTAAATAAGACTAACATTTTAATTTAAAATTACATACTTACAAACCTTAGTCATTTTTAGGTTTATAAATGAAACCTGAATAGCACTTTATCTGTTTTTATTTGTCAATTATGCTTCTTTTTTTTTTCTCCTTTTAAAAAATATATTTTATTGACTTTTTATTGAGAAGAAGGGAGAAGGATAGAGTTAGAAACGTCGATGAGAGAGAAACATCAATCAGCTGTCTCCTGCACAGCTCCAAACCGGTGATGTGCCCGCAACCAAGGTACATGCCCTTGAATGAAATCGGACCTGGGACCCTTCAATTCGAAGGCCTACACTCTATCCACTGAGCCAAACCGGTTAGGGCATCAATTATGCTTTCTTGACACTGAAAATCATAAGTGTTTACCAAAGGATAAATTTTGGCCCAATTTCAGTATATACTTTAAGCATATCAGAGTTTATAATGGTTTGTATTTTAAAGGTTTTTTTTTTTCCAAATGATGTAGAAACTCTCGAGTTTACATATAAAAGGTAAATATCTAAATTTTTTTTTTACTGTCAGTGAGATTAAAAAAAAAACTATAATGATTTGTAAATGGGGTAAGAATTAGCTTACGACATTAGCAAATTAAATAAACTGATTTTTAAGAATTTAACATTAGCTCTGGCAGGTTTGGCTCAGCCATTAGAGTGTTGGCCCTCTGACCGAAGGATAACAGATTTGTTTCTGGCCACGGGCATCTACTCGGGACACATGCAGGAGGCAACCAATTGATGTTGTCTCTTCTCTAAAAAAATCAATGAAAAAGATATTCTTTGATGAGGATTTAAAATAAAAAAATAAAAAAGAATTTAACATTAGAATCCTTAGAGTAAAAATAATTCAATAACAAATATTTCAGAAATGTTACACATATTGTAGCTAGCTTTAATTTAAAAGTTATCAAATAAAATAAACCTGTAAACCTACAAACAAAATATATACACAGGCTTTTATAATTATCTGTCTAGTCACTTTTACATTATTCCATTTCTTACAGTACAGAAAAAGAGTTTAATAGAACACAACTACCTATACCTCCAGCTGCCTCCAAATTCAGAACTGGGACAGCTGACTTGGTTTAACTGTGCAAAAAAAGCACTCCCCTGAATCTGTCACATTGCATCAAAGAGGTAGAAGTAGTGGTTTGCAAACTGATCTTGAAAGGCAAATAATTACACAACTACCTAGACACAAGGGAGCATTAATTGCACGTGAAGTGGTAAGTAGGTTTTCAGGCTTATGCCAATTGGCCTAACAATGAAAGCAAAGGAAATGAAATAACACTTGGGAATTTTAGAAAAAGATATTGGTTATAACTTAAGTTTCTTCCAAGTTAAATTCTATTATTTATTACAATAACAATGAAATCTTTCCATAACAAAAATAATAATGATATAGAATATTGTATAAACATTTCAAGCTACTGAAATGACAAATTACTACTACCCAAAAAGAGGGGACAAAGTGAGTCAGAGTTTAACCCATTAAGAGAATTTTATCCCAAATTCTACATTGTAAGTAAAAATGAAATTAGAACACATTCTTAAAAACTTACTTGCTGAGATCAACACAACATTTTGCAAGCAGGTATTTACATTGTGGTGTAGTACAACTGTGTCCTTTCAAGAGTCTATATGCTTTATATGCCTTTCCTGAGCGATAATAACAGGTTGCCAGTAAAAACAAAGCTTCTTCTGAGTGTACTAAAAATACATATAGGAAAAAAAAGAGCTAGGTTGAATGGCAATCATTATTTATCTGGCAATAAACAAGTTTGTCAATGAAAAAATTAGGTATGTTACTTAATGTAAAACAATCATTTATTTCAATTAAGGAGAAATATTTTACTGATAGAAAAAAGTTAGTTCCCCAAGGTCACTATTCATAAGAGAAATGCAAAAACCAGGATTAGGTATCACCTCAAACCTGTCAGAATGGCTATCATCAATAAATCAATAAGCAAGTATTGGCAAGGATGTGGAAAAGAGGGAACTCTCTCTAGGTGGGAATGCATATTGGTGCAATCACTATGGAAAACAGTATAAATGTTCTTCAAAAAATTAAAAATGAAACTGCCTTATGACCCAGCAATTTCACTGTAGTTACCTATCTGAAAAAAACCAAAACACTAATATGAAAGAATTTATGTGCTCCTGTGTTCATTGCAGGGTTATTTATAACAGCCAAGATATCAAAGCAATCCAAGTGCCTATCATAGATGAGTGGTACATATATACAATGGAACATTACTCTGCCGTAAAAAAAGAATCCTACCATTTTCGACAGTATGTATGGACCTAGAATATATTATGTTAAGTAATATAAGTCAGGCCGAAACCGGGTTTGGCTCAATGGATAGAACGTTGGCCTGCGGACTGAAAGGTCCCAGGTTCGATTCCGGTTAAGGGCATGTACCTTGGTTGCGGCACATCCCCAGTAGGGGGTGTGCAAGAGGCAGCTGATCGATGATTCTCGCTCATCGATGTTTCTAACTCTTTATCCCTCTCTCTTCCTCTCTGTAAAAAATCAATAAAATATATTATAAAAAAAAGTGATATAAGTCAGACAAATACCATATGATTTCACTTATATGTAGAATCTAAGGAACAAAATAAATGAACAAACAAAATGGACTCAAATATACAGAGAATAGACTGGTTGCCAGAGATGAGGGGTTTAAGGAGTGGATGAAAAATGTTAAGGGCTTAAGATGTACAAATTGGCCAAAACTGTTTTGGCTCAATGGATAGAGCGTCGGCCTGCAGACTGAAGGGTCCCGGGTTCAATTCCGGTCAAGGGCATGTTCATTGGCTGTGGGCACATCCCCAGTAGGGGTTATGCAAGAGGCAGCTGATAGATGTTTCTCTCTCATCTATGTTTCTAACTCTCTATCTCTCTCCCTTACTCTCTGTAAAAACTCAATAAAATATATTTTTTAAAAAAAAGATATACAAATTGGTAGTTACAAAATAGTCATGGGAATGTAAAGTATAGCATAGGGAGTATAGTAAAAAATATTAAAATAACTATGATTGATGTCAGGGGAATACTAGAACACTTTGTAAGGTATAGGATTAATTAACCACTATCATGTACACCTGAAACTAATACAAAAATAATACTGAATATAAACTGTAATTGAAAAATAAAAATTATAAAGGGTCATATTGCAAATAAACACAAATAATATTGAATAAATTAAGTAATAATGTGATAAATTCTTTAAATTTTTTAAACTATCAAGAACTATATATTTATTGTAGTTATAGAATTCAGAGTATATAATCCAAGAAAATGACTTAAAAAAAAAAACTATACATAATTATATTAACATCTTAGAAAGAGAATTACAATAATGACAGAAACAAAATATACATTAGTAGATGTTTATTGGACATTTATTACCATTCAATAAGGCTGTACCAAGTGCTTTAAATACATGATTTTATTTTACTCTTCAATTTTGTTGTTTATTTATTTATTTTTTACATTTTTAAAATTTAATTCTTCAATTTTATGAGACAATTATCTTTAGTTTATAGCTGAGAAATCTATAATGCTCAGACATTAAGTAACTTGCCCTAGGTATACAACTGCAAATTTAAGTGACAGAGTTAGGGTTTTCACTGAAGCCATAGACTCTAATCCATGCTCTTGGCCACAAAATAAAGTCTCTGGGGAAAAATATACTTAAAGATTGGAAAAGATTAAATAAATCATAGTGTAAAATCTGAAGCAACTCTATAGTTATTAAAAGTAACATATACATGAGCTGCACAGATACAGGGAAAAGTTTTTATGAACTACTATCAATTGTAAAGAAAAAGAAAAAGCAAAATAAAAAAAAGGGGGAAATACCGAAACTGAAAAAAAAAAAAAAAAAAAAGCAAAAGCAAAAGCGATACTCAGAATTTATAACAGTCATAAAAAGGGATGGTGTTCATATATTTTATTTATTAGTGATTTTACAGAAATAAATATAATACAAACCTTCTGCATATAGTCGTTCTGCAAGGAAAACTGCATCTCGGTAAGCATAATGGTTTAGTGCTTGCCATATAGCAGCCTGCAAGAGGAAGAACAGAACATAAATACATAAACACAGAGTTTCAAGAAAACTTCTAGCTCAGAGCCTTGCATGTAATCCCCAAATCAACATCCCTAATTTAAGTGATAAAACTTCAATGTCCAAAGTGCAAACTCCAAAGTGTGTTAGATAAAGCTCTTCGCAGATGGTTCCAAACATACCTGAATTCACCCACTGGATTTTCCATGGATTTTTAGGCCGCTGTGTCTTTTCCTGCACTAGGGAATGTGGTCTTGCTCATTCTTAAAGATCCAGCTTAAATAACATCTACTTCATAAAGCTGATCTCTAGCCTTATTTTTTTAAAATATATATATTTTTATTGAGTTTTTAGAGAGGAAGAGAGGGACAGAAAGCTAAAATCATCAATGAGAGAGAAACATCGATCAGCTGCCTCTTGTACACCCCCTTACTGGGGATGTGCCTGCAACCAAGGCACATGCCCTTGACCAGAATTGAACCTGGGACCCTTCAGTCTGCAGGCCCATGCTCTATCCACTGAACCAAACCGGTTTTGGCTAGAGATCTTTTTTTTTTTTTTTTTTTTTTGTAAATCTACCTCTTCTAGTATGAGCACTCGTATTATATCAGTTATTCATTTGCAGGTCTGCCCTACCACACTAAACTAGATTGCTCTAAATTTAAAGCAGTGGTTTCTGACAATTTTTCATGATACACATAAGGGAGATGGTCAAATATTAATATATGCTATCTTCCAAAAAACTTCCCATTTGAATACCTTTAATGCTACCCTGTTCTCAGCCACTCAAGGCAATGTTTTTACTGATTCCATCACAACTTACCACGAATGACAAAGCAACTGGATGGGGGTGGGCTGTCTTTTTTTTTTTTTTTTTAACTTTTCTGAACTGGAAGGCTCTAGTACTCACTCATTCAGTAAATATTTACTGAGTGCCCACTATGTGCCAAGCACTTTCTAGAGTCTGGGAGTACGATAATTAACAAATAGTTTCTGTTCTCATGAAGTACATTTTATTTTATTTTTTTTTTAAATACATTTTTTAAAATATATTTTATTAATTTTTTACAGAGAGGAAGGGAGAGAGACAGAGAGCCAGAAACGTCAATGAGAGAGAAACATCGACCAGCTGCCTCCTGCACATCCCCCACCGGGGTTGTGCCCGCAGCCAACGTACATGCCCTTGACCGGAATCGAACCCGGGACCTTTCAGTCCGCAGACTGACGCTCTACCACTGAATCAAACCGGTTTCGGCATCATGAAGTACATTTTAGTGTTATTCCTATATACTAGTAGATCAGTGGCTATCAACCCTTACTTGATGGTGCTCTACTTCAAATCCACTGAATCACAACCCCTGGAAGTTGGGATTGAGTTTAGATAGCCTTATTTTTAAACCTTTTTACAAGGTAAGCATTCAGGGTTCAGAACCATTCTTCTCCATTTCTAGATAAGTAGTTCTCCCTTCTTTTATAGCATACTCTTTTGAAAACTTATGAAAGCAATAGGTCTCTTCAGAAAAAAAGCACATTCATGTAAATACAGAAAATCTGTATACAGTGTTAGGGGTTCACTGATATCATGGTTCATTAAGAATCACTGATCTAGCCGAAATTGGTTTGGCTCAGTGGATAGAGCGTCGGCCTGCGGACTGGAAGGTCTCAGGTTCGATTCCGGTCAAGGGCATGTACATTGGTTGCGGGCACATCCCCAGTAAGGGGTGTGCAAGAGGCAGCTGATTGATGTTTCTCTCTCATCGATGTTTCTAACTATCCCTCTCTCTTCTTCTCTGTAAAAAATAAATAAAATATATTAAAAAAAAAAAAAAAAGAATCACTGATCTAGCTGATGAGATACAGTATTAGAGCCTGATATATAATAGGTGCTCAATAACTATTTGTGGAATTAAAGTTAGATTAAGTACCCCCTTATCCATAGAAAATACGTTTTAACACCTCCCAGCAGATGCTTGAAACAGCAAATAGTACCAAAACCAAAACCAAAAGTATATACATATATATGATAAAAGCTTAATTTATAAATTGACATAGTTAATTATAAGAAACTAACAACAATAACTAATAATAAAATAGAACAATTGTAACACTAAACTGAATTAAAAATTATGTGAAAGTGGTTTCTCTCTCAAAATATCTTATTGTACTGTACTCACCTTTTCATTTAAAGGAAGCACTTAGTTTCTCTTTGGCTTATCTGAATTGCCTTGCACTTTGGGGCCTTATTAAGTAAAATAAGGGTTACTTGAATGTAAGCATTGCAATACCTTAACAGTCAACCTGACGATGGGAGAGTTAAGAAGTGACTGTTGAGCAGGTAGTGTATACAGGGTGAATAAAATATAAAGGGATGGTTCACATCCAAGGCAGAATGGAGCAGGAATGTGGGAGGTTTCATCATGCTACTTGGAATAGTGTGCAGTTAAAATAACTTATGATTGTTATTTCTGGAATTTTCTATTTAATGTTTTTGGGCCATGGTAGACCATGGGTAGGCGAGAACTACTGTACTTGAAAGGGGAAAAGATAAGTTACTGACTTAGAAAGATGCTTTCTCTTTGCACATATAGATTACTGTAGTAAAAGCATTTTGAGGATCGATCATTGCTGCTGCTAAGACTGGGAGAGGTGTTCCTTATTTGAAAATCAAACTGCTCAAGATTACACCTGTGACTTTGCACGGTACACATGAAATAATGAATGTATTGATAATTCAATTTGGGTACATTATGGATTTAAAAGGTTTTAATGTCCTGATTAGTGAGTCACCATAATTTACAGAATTGTACCTACAGAAACATACCTAGAGTTTATTCCCTCTTTTCTAGTCCCAGTCCACAACAGACACTTCTTTCCTTTAAACTCTTAGTTTCCTAAGTGGTTTTCCTGCCTGCAAGCTGTTATGCAATCCATCCTATCTTTTTGTGTGTGGGTGTTTTTCTTAATATATTTTATTGATTTTTTTACAGAGAGGGAAGGAGAGGGATAGAGAGCTAAAAACATTGATGAGAGAGAAACATCGACCAGCTGCCTTCTGCACACTTCCTATTGGGTATGTTGCCCGCAACCAATGTACAAGCCCTTGACCGGAATTGAACTTGGGACCTTTCAGTCCGCAGGCTGACGCTCTATCCACTGAGCCAAACCGGTTTTGGCAATCCTGTCTTGAAATATCTTCTTCAAATGTAAATATCACCACTGCTAAATAGAAAACTGAGAGGTTTGGTTCAAATACACTTTCCACAACTTATTAGTTCTATGGCTTGGGCAAATAATTTCATGTCTCATATGTCTTACTTTATTAGTTCAAAATATAAGACTTCAGTAAAGTACATAATAGTTCTGAACACATACCTAATAATAACTCAATAAATTTTAACTGCTGTCATCCTCATTATGATCACCTTGTCTTCCTCCTTTATCAAAACTTTCTAATGCTTTCTCTTGGATAGCTCCACAAAATTTACAAAATAAATATCTACAGAATAAAGCACAAACTCCTTAGCAAACTATTCAAATCCCATCTTTAACCTTCATTTTTCAGGTGTTTTCATATCTCACCAAAGCTGCATTTGGTCTACAACAAAATGCCTCTATAGCTCCCTAAACATCCAATGTATTTTAATATTTTTTGCCAACACTGTTGCCTCCGTTAGGGCTGTTCTTTAACTTCTATCTCCTGAAATCTTAGTTATCCTTCTTTCAAAATTCAGTTTATACATTCCTCTGCCTTTTGCAAAGCCCTCACTGATCTATCCAATGCAATGCTGATTACTCTCTATGGGGTTCTAGAGTTTGTTTATGCTTTTTTAAAAAAAATCAGGTTACTTATTAGATTTAGTTATATTATTTGGTTAACTAGGTTGCAATTTCTTTCTTTTTTAAAAAAATATTTTATTGATATTTTACAGAGAGGAAGAGAGAAAGAAAGAGTTAGAAACATCGATGTGAGAGAAACATCGATCAGCTGCCTCTTGCACACCCCCTACTGGAGATGTGCCGGCAACCAAGGTACATGCCCTTGACCGGAATTGAACCTTTCAGTCCGTAGGCCAACGCTCTACCCACTGAGTCAAACCGGTTTCGGCGTAGGTTGCATTTCTTGAAGACAAAAACCAGATTCGATTTTTCTATCCCTTGGCCTTGCCTGTGCCCTCTTGCAATTCGGGACCTCTTGGGGAGTATTGGGTAGCTGGTTTTGGCCGGATCCCCACAGGCCCGATCCAGACAGGAGGGAACCTGATCCTGTGTGTTGGGCATCTGTCCCCTAGTGTCAGTGCACGTTATAGCAAATGGTCATTCAGTCACTTAAGCTTTTATATATATAGATTCCCTGGTTAACAAGTTATCTCTCTATTATATTTGATAACTTCCCTTAAACATAATGAATGTTCAATGTTTGTTGAATGAGTGTTTTGGAATCCTAAATCCATTTTCATTTACTGACCTACAAATTTTTAGAAACCCAATCTGGATGTAAAACACAAGTTAAGACATTACTACTATAATTAACTTGTAATAATCTGAATAAAATGGAATATTAATATTGACAATATAAAATACAAAATAACCTCTAGTTGTTTCTTCTTTTTCTTTTTGTTAATCCTCACCTGAGGATATTTTCCCATTGATTTTTAGAGAGAGTGGAAGGGGTGGGGAGAGGCAAAGAGAGAAACATCGATTGGTTGCCTCCGACACGCACCCTGACCAGGGCAGGGATTGAGCCTGGAACCTGTGACCCTTCAGTCCATGGGCTGATGTTCTAACCACTCAGAAAACTGGCTAGGGCTGTTTTCTCTTGAAACAATAAGCAAAACATTGAAAAGCAAAGGAAGCAAGAATCTGGTAAGAAAATATGAGTTGGTCTGACAGAAGGATTGGAATAGATCAGGTTTGGTGGTAATAAAATATCTTGGTGTGATCTATAAATGTGTGGAAGATATTCAGATTTTTCTGGTTAATAGCAGCCTATAATATATCAT